ACACGGAACACGCTCTGACTCGTCGAGTTCCTCCTTAGACTCGATGAGTTGACCCCTTTGACTTAGGGTTTTTCTTTCCTTTCCGGGTCTTCTGGATTCCGAGTGTTACAGAAGTGTGACATCACTCCTTGTATGTGGTAAGGAACCACACTTTTGCGGTAAAAACTAAACGTGACACTTACGTAACAATAAAAGAGTACGGTTCTTGTGGCACCAGCCTAAGTTGTGAATTGTGAATGTTGTGTAATTTCGTTTTGTTGTATATTTATTTTTTGTGATTGGTTTTTTTAGTCATGTTTATGTTTATGTGTCTGAAATTAGGCCTGACAATCGAGTTGGGTTCAGGTTAGCGGGTCAAAAAACAAAAACTCAACCCAAACCATATAATATACGGGTTAGCGGGTCACGGATTGACGGGTTGGAAACATCAACCCAACCCAACTCATATAACCGTTTAAATATATAGGTTCGCAGGTTAGTGGGTCGAACCCAACCAACATAACCGGTTTAATAAATAAACAACACATATTCAAAAAATAAGGTTTTTCAACATAAAGTCATAAAATGATTAAAGTCATTAAAAAAAGTAGTTTTCAACATAAAATCATTAAGTCATTACCATCCAAATAAAATTGAAAAATGAAAACATTCATACAAAGTGCAATTGTTCAAAAATATCTAAAAACCAATTCGATAATTCATTCATGCCAGAATTCCCATTTTTTCCTCCAACACCGACTTCTTCATGATGACCTTCAAATAGAAACAATATGTAAAATTAAATTTATGATCTTTTGAAAGCTACATAAATAATTTTATGTCTTCTACTATTTGTACTAAAAAGAATTCACCAAATGACAAGTTAAAATATGTTGGAATTTATAGCCTCCATATTGTCTTTGTTGATGTTCAAATTCATTACATTTTGAGTTAGGTTGTCAACAACTATATTCAAATCAACTGCATAAGGAATAGAAAAAAAAATTAATACAAAATTTTAGTTAATACGAAAAAACCAAAATTATTAAATATTAATTCAAATTATTCATTCGTGACTCGTAAGTATTTAAAAAATGACAATATATGTGTTTTCTTTTTTGATTAAGGCACCACAAAAAACTAGTTACATAAAATACAAAATGAATACAATGATACAAAATATTACGAATACAGAAGGAAATCAGATTTCATTAATAATTAAATGTATCTATTTTTTTTAAATGTAGTGTGTGTGTATATATATATATATATATATATATATATATATATATATATATATATATATATACATACATACATACGGGTTGCTGTGGTGACCCGCAAACCCAAACAGATAACCAACCCAACCAATGAAATAAACGGGTTGGATGGTCAAAAATCTCAATCAAAACCCGTTTATTTTCGGGTTGGGTCAGTATCGGGTTACGAGTTTTGTCGAAAGTTGTCATCCCTATCTGGAATAAACATATATAAAGACATACGATAATATTTAAAGAGCCGATCTATACATAATAGTCGCGTGCGGGCTCAGCTCTCGCTCTCCTCCCATCCGCGAAGCTGAGGCGGGAGAAAAAGCATAACTCCCCGATCTCATAGGTTACCTTTCGATCTTCCTCCCCCGTAACGCTCCCAAATCAATCGCTATCCTTTTCTTGCTTTCTTGTTGTCTTGAATTGTTTAAGTTTTAAAATATTATATAGTATAATTTTAGAAAAGAAAAAATTATTGTGTTTGGAGAAAAATTAGTGTGTATAAATAACTTCTCTAATATTTAATATATTTCGATTAATATTATACGTATCTTAATTTTCAAGTCACATTTACATTTACATGTATTATAAATGAAACTTACACGATGGAATTATCAAATGCTAAAAACGAATATAGAATGAGCTACTTAAATGATAAATAATTGAATATTTAGATAACATTATTTGGTTATAAGATAATATTAAATAGACCAAATTTATTCTATATATTTGGTTTGGTTCGGTTTTTTCGTATAAAACCAAACCTATTTGTCAAAAAATTAGTTTTTGAAAATCAAAGATTATTCGATTTAGATTTTTAGTTTGATTTTTGGTTTCTTTGTTTTATGAATTTCGATTTAATTTTTGTACACCCTAAACATAATATTACAAAACATACCGAAAATGGATTTATCTCAAATTGATCATCAACCTCATGTTATTTTTTTTTATTAGTAGTGATCAATCTAAAATTCTAAATATTGTGTTTCTTAAATCAGAATTATCTTTTAATAATTATTATAATAATATATTAGACTAAAACTGAAAATTATTGTTGCCATTAAATAATAAAAGGAATTTAGTCAATAACTACTCTTGGAATCTACTTGATCTTCAAGCCAATGGACCATCAAAACTTTTGTTTATCCCCTTTGCTCATTGACTTTCCCCCATGGAACTTAAAGAATCATGCAATAAACCAAAAGGAATATCTTTTATCACTTCCTTTTCCCCTCTAAATCATTAATATATGATTACAATTATTAACACCCATTAACGTACTACCTTCTACCTTGGATTTTATGCCTTGTCGACTATATTTATTTTCGTTCTTTCTTTGTTTTTATTTGGGCTTTATTACTATAATGCGACCATCCTCTAATTTCATTCCATGTCTTCATATTAGGTATCACCTTTTGTTGTCATTCTCTTTGTTTCTACTCTACTTCTTTTATGGAAAGAAAATTCTCCATGGTTAGGTTGGAAAAGAGACTAAGCGCGTCGAAAAACGAGGGACTCCCTTATCTTGTTAAGTGATTGTGACAAACGAATAGAGCAAGAAAATAAAAAGTTATGAGTATGATAAAGTTTAAACCTTTTTTCCGATATTGAAATGATCAAAATTGCCATGTAGAACAAGATTAAGAGATGGGTACAAAAGCACTTATGGGCGATAGATATATGGTCCACCAAGAAAGCATATATGGTATGCATAAATGGGGTTTTTGATGGGACAAAACTTCATGGGATATAAGTCCAAAGTGGTTGCATCTTCTTTTATTACACAAACACTAAGGAAAGGTGATATTGAAAGACATAAAGCTTGCTAGCTAGCTACCCACTAGACACACAAATTGACAAAGAAGCCTTGTAACACATATCAACCAAATGTCTTTGTCCTTTCTCGTTTTGGTTCCAATCCCATCAATGAATCTTTCTTCAATATACTCTCTAAAATAGCATAAGGTACAACTATGAATACACTATGTGCAACTCATAAAACACGACTTTTGACTTTGAAAAGACCATATATAGTCGATGATTAACTGATTAAGAGACATTTCAAATGAGTCTAAATTCCCATGTGGTTGTTTCTCAATTTAACGTTTTTTTTTTGTTGTTGATTAATTAGTATTAGGTGAGGATTAGATGGAGTGATTTGAGATTCGAGTGGAAAAAATGTTAAGGAACTAATCCCGAACATCCTGACTAGTTGTCCCATCTACCATTTTGTGTCGTTCAAGCAACATTAACTTTGATAAATTAATCATCATTTTAAAACTAATAATGAGCTCAAGTATCTTTATACTTTAAAGTTTAATCTTGTAGATAAGATTAACCTTTTATTCTCCCAAACTAATGTATGGTTTTACACTATGATCGTCCCCTTGATACATCATAGGACCCAAAAAGAAGCTCGATAAGTCTTTGTGATCTTAATCTTATAATACAATGATACCCATTAAATAATACAAATGTTGCTATGAATAGAAAATGGGTTCGTACCAATGTCTTATGAAAGTCAACAAACCCAATCTAATCCTAAATAGATGTGTTAATTACGATCATGTAATGGAGATTTATTATTATTTGAAAAATCAAATAACTAAAATAAAAAATTAGATAAATAAATAGAATAATTAATAAACCACACAGGTTATAAATAGATATTAATGGTGTGAAGTGTATTTTTATAATGCGAACAATCTTTTATACTGTTATATTTAAAGATTATTATTATCATAATAACGTAGGTTTTTTTTTAATCATAACTAATATTAATTAATTTTAAAATAATAAAAAGTTTAATACAAAATATTTCAGTTCAAACCAACCCATACAATTATATATTTTATCTCATTTTTTGTTTGCAGTCATCACCACTTACTACGCTAAAATAAGTGATCATTATATCTTTATATGATAGATATTAAAAGATAATCAATTTGTTAAATAAACTCTTCCCATATGATATTTTTGTAATTATCCATATATTTAATCTCATTGGTATGAATTAAAATAATATTTGTATTTCAACTTGAAAAGGGACCAATACATCCATCAAAGAGCAAGTGGGTATGTCTCCCCCAATTTTATTTTTTCCTTCTCAACCATCACCATCTTATCTTCTCCGCTCATAGTAACATTCCATGTCTTTAAAACGATTAAAAGATGTTGAAAATTTAATTAACCACTAACATATTTTGTAAATAACTTTGACTATTATATATAATATATATATAGATATATATATATATATATATATATATATATATATATATATATATATATACTCAAGAACATCACTGTTGATTAATCGTTACGTTTGTTTCAGTAAAAATCAGAAAACTTATGGTATATTTTCAAATCATGACATCATATGAATAATTAAAGATATATTTTTGTCATTACTACATATTATATATAGTCCTTAAGTTGACTATGATTAACCCGATAATAGTATAAAAATGTTTTTAAAGTGATTAAATTAATAAAAGAAGCTTATATAAAGTTTTGAAGTTAAAAGGTGCTCTCACTTTTCATGCACAATCATCATCAACTTTGTTAACATCAACACTGATGACTGATCTGTCCCATATCGATTTGTCTTTCTGAACCCATTAATTACCACTTCTATTCATCTTCTTCATCTCAAATTCACCAATATTCATCACCTTTTCATGAACACAAACATGATTTTCATCTTTTCACTTTAATCATCCAATTACAATCAATCCAATCTTTTCTCAAATGGGTGGCGTTACCATTACCACTACCACTACCAATACATTAATCTTTCTGTTTGTGTTCCTACAACTTTCACTCACAAAAGCTTCTTCAAATGATTCATTCTGGCTTCTCAAAATTCAATCACAATTCATCGATCCAATGGGAGTTTTCAGCAACTGGAATTCATCATCGAATATATGCACATGGAATGGAGTGAAATGTTCACAAGATCAAACACGTGTTGTGGGTATAAATCTTTCAAACTCGGGACTCTCGGGAACAATCTCTCCCGATTTTTCCCGACTTTTTTCACTTCAAAAACTCGATCTTTCCGTGAATTCACTCACAGGGTTAATCCCTCGAGAGCTTAGTGAGCTTCAAGATCTTCAAGAACTACTTCTGTTCTCAAATTATCTTTCTGGTTACATTCCTAATGAATTCAATCTCTTGAAGAAGCTTCAAGTTCTTCGAATAGGAGATAATTTGTTAACAGGAGAAATTATAAAAAGTATTGGGGAGCTAAGTGAGTTAAGAGTATTAGGTCTTGCTTATTGTCAATTTAATGGAAGCATTCCTTCACAAATCGGGAATTTGAAGCATTTAAAATCCCTCCAATTACAGACGAATAATCTTGGTGGAAAGATTCCGGAAGAGATCAATGGGTGTCAAGAACTCGAAGATTTTGCAGCATCGAACAACAAGCTTGAAGGTGGAATTACTTCTTCAATTGGACAACTTCGGTCCCTCAAAATCTTGAATTTAGCAAACAACACCCTCTCGGGCTCCATTCCGGATTTATCTAACCTTTCCACGTTGAAATACTTGAACTTTCATGGAAACCGGTTGACCGGTGAAATCCCACCGGAGATACTCCGGCTGCCGGAGCTCCAGAATCTTGATCTTTCAAGTAACAATCTTTCAGGAAACATTACCCGTTTCGATTTTGAAAATGGTAACCTCGAAGCTTTAGTTTTGTCGAGCAATTCGTTCACCGGTGGGTTCCCGGATAAACTTTGCTCCAGGGAATCGAATTTGCGCCATGTGTTTATCTCCGGGAACCGTCTCTCCGGCGACTTCCCTTTTCCGTTGCTGAACTGTTCTTCATTGGAAGTGCTGGACATTTCTGGTAATAACTTCGGAAACGAAATACCATCTGAGGTGGAGAATCTAAAGAATCTCACTGATCTTTTACTCAACAATAATAGTTTTTCCGGTAGTTTACCTCATGAAATCGGAAACTTGAGTAATTTGGTGAATCTTTATCTGTTTGGGAACATGATTACAGGTGAAATCCCGATTGAAATAGGAAAGTTACAGAAGTTGAGTGTATTGTATCTTTACGATAATCAGATGTCCGGAAACATTCCAATCGAGTTAACGAATTGCTCGATGTTAAGTGAAATTGATTTTTTCGGGAATCATTTCACGGGTCAGATTCCGGGTACAATTGGGAAGCTCAAGAATCTTGTTTTTCTTCAGTTGAGGCAAAATGATTTATGGGGTCGGGTTCCATTAAGTTTGGGTTATTGCAGAAAGCTTCAAACTTTATCGTTGGGTGATAACAAGCTTTCAGGATCACTTTCAAACACATTTGGGTATCTTTCAGAGCTTTCGCTTCTTAGTCTTTATAATAATTCTTTCGAAGGTCCTCTTCCTGAAACAATCTCTCTCTTGAAAAATCTCACCATTGTTAATATTTCTCACAATCGATTCTCGGGTTCGATTTCGCCTCTTGTGGGGTCCGATTTGTTGTTGTTGTTCGATTTGACTAATAACAGTTTTTCCGGTTTTATTCCTTCTGAATTAGCGAGGTCAAAGAATCTTACCCGAATACGACTTGCTCATAATCTTCTAAATGGTACAATTCCTATGGAGTTTGGTCAACTTAGCGACTTGAACTTTCTTGATCTTTCATCTAATAGTTTCACAGGAGAGATACCACCGGAGCTTTCAAACTGTAAAAAGATCAGCCATTTTCTTGTCAGCAACAACCAACTTACGGGTTTGGTTCCACCATGGTTAGGAACGTTTGAAGAACTTGGAGAGCTGGATCTTTCAAGCAACGATTTCAATGGAACATTACCGAAAGAAGTGGGAATGTGTTCAAGATTACTCAAGCTTTCGGTCGACCAGAACAGGCTTTCCGGTGGGATACCAGAAGAGATTGGGAATCTAACTGGTTTAAATGTTCTAAAGCTTCAAAGAAACAATCTCTCTGGGGAAATTCCTCGAACACTTGGTGAGTGTAAGAAACTGTTCGAGCTTAGACTATCGGAGAATTCGTTCTCAGGTTCTATACCACCTGAGCTTGGCACTCTGACTGAACTACAAGTGATTCTGGATTTGAGCAATAATCTTCTCATGGGTGAAATCCCAGTTTCTCTTGCGAATCTTGTGAAGTTAGAAAGGTTGAATTTGTCATTCAATAAACTGCATGGACAAGTTCCGGAATCTCTAGGAAGATTAACCAGCCTCCATGCCCTTAATCTCTCGAACAATCACCTTCAAGGAGATATTCCATCAACTTTTTCAAGATTCCCATCAAGTTCTTTCATGGCCAACGACAACCTGTGCGGCCCACCACTAATTTCATGCGCGGAATCAAAGCGACAGCAGAAAAAGCAGCTCTCGAATACCGCAGCTGCTGGAATCGTAGTGGCCATTGTTTTCACGGCAACCTTGATATGCTTGTATCTGCTTTATCTGATGCTTCGCATATGGTGCAAATGGAAGCAAGCTTCCATTTCAAACGCTGACAACCGCGGCGGGGTGATTGATGGGATGCCGGTAAAGGAGGAGAAATGGGTGTACGAAGATCGACCGATAAGGAGTAATGAGTGCTGGGACTTGAACAAGATGACATTGCTGCCATGTTCGCATTCGAAGAAAGATGTTTCAATGGCAAGCTGTATTTTTCAGGATAGCATGAGTAGAGAAAACTCCATGAGATCATTGGTTTAGTTTTGATTTCGTAGTTTTTTTTTTTTTTTTTGTTATAATTGTTTGAATTTGTTCGAGTATCATCTTGCTTTTGGCTCTGTCCTTCAATCGCTCTTTGAATTCTTAGGTCATTTCACCACTACAACAACCACATAAACAGTACATAAATTTGATATATCCATTCCTATACATCACATGTTTAAATTAAAAATAATTAAAAATGTAATAAAAATGCTAGACTTTTAAGCAAACTAAAAATATTACGCTACATAAATTTATAAAAATAAAATAAAATAAAATAAATAAAAAAAACAGAAATTAAGCAAATAAAATAAAAACAAACATAGAAAAAAAATTGTTTGAACATTCAAATAATTCTAAAATTACATAAATAAAAAATAAAATTGTCATAAAAAATTATAATTAGTTCAAAGACAAATTTACTTGTCGCCGTTTATCCTAATTTGGTATAGATGCTCCGCTAGATATTCTCGAAGATATTGAATGTTTCCGCTAGATCTCCTCTTCCATTGATCATCCTTCTTCGTGGTCATGACCAGAATCAACCACGCCACAACCACCACGATGCACACATGATGGTGTGCACGATGGTGGTAACTAACCATGATAGCAACGAACCACCATGATATGTATACATGAAGGTCCACAACACGATTATATATATATATATATATATATATATATATAATATATATATATATATATATATACACACACACTAGGTGTGAGACCCGTTTACTACACGGGTTTAAAAAAAAATTAATATCAAGTTGTAAACATTAAGCAATTTTTAATGAAATACTTTGTTAGCAATTTTGAATTTTATTACAACACAAGTGGTAGTAAAGGATTCTAATTTATTTAGGACACTGATATCATATTTGCATTTTTATCACTTAATAGTAACATTTTTTCATTTGTATCAGATAATAGCATTGTACTTTCATTTTTATCCCATAGTAGAACAACTAAAAAAACCATTCTACCCTTTTAAAAAATTTACCATTCTACCACTACACGGTTAACATATTAAAAGTAATAGTTTTAACATATATCTAGGAACATATTTCTAATTTTCAACAAAATAAAAACCTACTTATATTTATGAATGGACATGGCATCATATTTGCATTTTTAGCCGATAATAACAACATGCTTTCATTTGTATCACATAATAGCATCGTACTTTCATTTTCATCCCATAATAGCATCATACTTTTATTTTTATCACATAATAGCATAATAATTTCGTTTTTATACCATAATAGCATCATACTTGCATTTTCAACCAATAATAACAACATAGTTTTTGTTTTTATCAGATAATTCCATAAAAAAAACCAATGTGAGTCTGATGATAACATTAAATATGAAGTATGATGATATATTACACAAATCCACAAACAGAAACAACAACACTTGTTGGGGTATTTTGGGCAAAAACATCTATATAATACTTAAAAATAGATATAAATACGTAAAAAATACGTTTATACACTTAAAATACAAAAACATCTATATAAAAAGCTTTAAAAAATACGTAAAAATATATAAAAATACATATAAATACATAATACATAAAAAAATAACACATAAAAATACATAAAAAAATATGTAAAATGGTTAAAAATACATACAAATAAGTAAAAAAAATATGTTTATACATTTAAAATACATAAAAATACGTAAATATATACATATAAAAACATAAAAAATACAAAAATACGTAAAAATAGATATAGATATGTAAAAAATATGTTTATACATTATACAAAAATTTTGACGAAATCTGCAAAAAAATCTCATTATTTTCGAAAAATTAACAATTTGGTCTCATGACCTGCTGAACAGGTCAAAAAGGGCTAAAGTGAAAAAATTAGCCGGTTTCTTGGGCTTTTCTATTCAAAAAGTGAAAAAGTCAGAATTTTTTTATTCAAAAAATAAACTTTATGACTTTATTAAAAATTTGCCTAAAATATTGGGACTTTTCTGGAGATATCCCTTTTTGTTTTTATCACATAATTTCATAAAAAAAACCAATGTGAGTCTGGTGATAACATTAAATATGAAGTATGATGATATATTACACAAATCCACAAACAGAAACAACAACACTTGTTCGGGTAAATACGGTGGTGAATTTAACAAAGGCTAAAAGAAGATGCATTTAAGTATAAAAAATCCCATAACATTCATCAAAATGTAAGGGCGTTCTCCGATAATAATTTTAATATTAACTTTTTTAAGAATTTGAAACTTATAAATTAAATCAGAGTGAAAATATAAAACTAAAAAAAGCTAAAAACCAAAATTATAATGTTTAATATTCATTACATCATTGTACTTTCAACTTTTATTTAAGGAATTGCAATTTGAAATAATGAGATAGATCGTTTCAAAGTACAATGCTACAATAGGAAGAAATAAAAATAGGATGCAACATTAAAAATAATAAATGAATGTACATTGTTATATCTTGCATTTGAAAGTAACAATCTTATATAAAACATATGGAAAATGGTCCAAAAATGCAAAATGTAACCGGGGGAGTGGGATAAACCATACTGAGCTAATGAACAAAATGCACCAAGGGATAAAACATCCTCAAAATGAGGCAAAAAAACTGCACCAGGAAATTTATAAAAAAAAAAAAAAAAAAAAAAAAAAAAAAAAAACCTTATTTAGCATACCGAGCAAAATATTATACCACGGGTAAAAAAACTATATGGGGTTAATGACATAAGTAGCTTCAAGCAAGCTGTAAATTTATTTTTTGTTTTTACCACTTTTAACTTTGGTTCTTGGTCTATTTTTCAAGAAGGAGTCAAACAACATCAAAAAGCTCCAAAAGTTTCCATTTTGGTCATTGTTTAAGGGATTTATAGAAATTTGGGTCCTATTCAAGTATAATGAATATATTGCCCTTTTTAATAAATATTTACTATTTTTATTTTTATTCTATAATATTATTATATTTCTATAAGGTAAAAGGTCACCAGTGTTCATGTTGTCCCATCAAAATAAATTTATGTTTTAGGTGTTAGAAAAAAATTAAGCATTTAGAGGGAAATCTAATTTATTGATGCTTGTTTGGAAATACATCAGTAACTAATAAAGTTGATTAAGAAATAAAGGAACACTAATACATTAAAACATTGGTTTTATATAAATGACCGTTTTACCCCTATCAGATGCGAAACAGAAACTGAATTATATTTACCTCTCCAGTAGTATATGTGTTATCTAATGCAAAACCCATGGATTTCTAAATCCGGATAATTCTAATGCCAGGGACTTAGGGCATGAAGCATGTCGTCATATTCATCTCTTGGTGCATCAGTTTGTGTTTGTTCGGTCTCTACACACTACAAAGAAGAATCAGATCAAAAAATTATATTATTCTTCTTGCTTTTGGTTGCCAAATATCACTTCTTATTTATAAATCTTTATTTTTATGCACAACTAACAAAATAAGGATGATATGTGTAGATGAATAATGTGTGCATGATTTACAATTGAAGTATTAAGACACGTTTCAACATTTATTACCCGCCACAACCACATAGTTATTCCAAAACCTTGATAATACGTACAGTTTATTTATAAACCCACACATAGCTACAAATTTATTTGTTATTTTGATTTAGGAATGCATAAATCAACACATCCACATAGTTATTCCAAAATGTTGATTGTTTGACGTATTTCTTTCAATTTGGCTTTCTTTACTTGAAAAGTCAGTTTGATGTTCAATTTTTGAGCTTCACATGTTTTTGTATGAAGGTCGCCTACTTTAAGTGGCTCCCAAAACCTTGATTGACATTATCCAGTTTAAAAATGCTTTTGATGTATCAAGATGCATACCTTGAAGGACCATATATTGACTGTTTTATAAGATGAGGAGCTGAAAAGAAAACTCCATACAAAACTGAAACAGATTAGCTCATTCTTTTTTTTTTTAAATTATAATTTTAATTCATAAACAACATAAAAGCTACATTAAATAGTAAAAATGTGAATTTACAAACACATACCTCCAATAGTTGCTCCAAAGATACAATCAAGATGACCTTAAAATCATTGCATTTGAAGAAATTGTCACAAACACCCTCAATGATACCACTCTATAACCCACAACTAGCCACCACTAACACCTGAACCCAACGACAAATTAAAATTTCCAACAAATTTAGAAATAAAACATTTATTGGATCTATAACTCAAATTTTATGTAAAAAAAATTCTTTAAATTTTTGCAAGATAAATCGTTGAACCCTTACTCACTATGAAGCTGAAATAACACTTACACAATAAAAACGATCGCTCAAAACCGCATGGTAAATAGGGATCTTTGAAAAAAAGTTGCAGGTCAATTTCAGAACTCACAAGTTCGTTATTTTTACCATTTTTTGTTGTTTCTCAACCGCAAAATCAACCAAATGTTTCCTCAATTTGAATAAGCTATTATCAGCAACAATATCAATATCAATTTTAATCTCATCCAACATTATTGCATTCCCATTTGAACTATTCTCTTTTCCACAGTTTTTTATTCCATCTTATAGTTGTATTGTGTGAAGAGGTTGGGGTTGTATCAGGTAATCATATTACCACATTTTTTGTTCCATCATATTACTTCTATATCATTCAATAAGCCAATTCTAAATATAAATGTGGAAAATTGTTCCTGATCGATTTATCATTCAATTTATATATCCTAATCAAATTATTAGTCAATTAGAATCAAGTTAAAGACACATACATACATAAGTCAATTAAATAAACTCAAAGCAATAATAATAATAATAATAATAATAATAATAATAATAATAATAATAATAAAGACAACAACGAATATAGGGAATGAAATAAAAGAATCAATAAGAGAAAAAAGTTGAAGCTTAGGGTTATGCCACTCGCTGACCTTCAACATCAATATCAAGTAGAGTTGAATATATATTATGTTAACAATATTGATGGTCGTTAGGAATATGAAAACT